TTGTTTCTTAGGTAAACTAATTTTATTAACACATTAAACTGTCGCATATTTATTAAACTCTACATACATACATACATACAGCTCATTCGTAAGGCAGAAGAATGAGTAAGAAACTTTTGAGTTGAGTTTGTAAATAAATATTTTCTACACGTTTATCATTTACTAAAATATACAAGTCGGCGCCTGCTATCACTTTAAACGTAATTTATTAAATTTATGAGATAAACGATACTAGGCTACCTACACATCAGGGCCGTGCCCGGGACGTGGACGGGGCGTGCTAGTTTGCATAAACCGCGGGCCCGTCCCGGCGCCGGCCCGGACATGGACATGTGTGAACGAGTTCACACAAAATAAACTCTGCGATATTTTTTTGAACCCCTAATGGAGCACGGCCCGTCCACGTTCCGAATATGTGTGTATAGGCTTTAATGGTTTCTTTGATTATAAATGTCACGTCAGTGCAGACAACTCAAACTGGGCATGGCCGGAGAGAGGGGGCTTTTTGTGTAAGTTGCTTGGACAGTGAAGGCGTACTGCCTCGCTCTCTCTGAACTTGCCGCGTGATATTTAGAATCCGTTTTAACCTCATCCATCTCTTATACTTTCGGATTCATTACTGTGAGAAGTGCATAAACAGCTGAATGAATGAGAGGGAATAAGCCGATTATCAAGTAATTCCTAACTAAATCGGCGTTGAAGGCGTTGCCTTCGACGTCTCCCTTTCGGGCCTTCACTCCGCCATACATATTTCAAATAAACCTAGTGAACTTCCAAGAGCTAAACGGGCCACTGCCGTGGATTTTTGTTATCCAAGTACACAAAAGTTTTAATTTGAATAGTTGTAAACCTCCTAAATGGAAAATTTTGAATATTAACCGGAATCTTATTATAGAATAGTGTAGGGATACATTTAACATTTTGTAATAATTTTCAAGTCTAGTATTGGTACATGCCCCGCGCGCTACAAGTCGTTTCTTCACCGCCGTCCGTATAACTTGTGTAATCGTAAATGTAATTAATGGAGTCAAAATTATACGGTATCCACATGGAATATCAATATGTTATTAATTCGCCATGAAGAAGACGACATCTATACCCTAAACTGGTGACCTCGACGTGATGAACACACAACCTTCTGATATTACGTCGGGGTCACCAGTTTAAGGTATATAGATGTGGTCTTCTTCTTGGCCATCGCCATGTCATAGAACGAAATATAAAAGAAAGGCGTAAGCGACAAATAATAAAACGTCATTTTACTTGAAAAGTATGACATTAAAAAATCCTCTTTACAGCCTGAAGGGACAAGGTACCATTTTTACTACATTCGGTTATTTAATTTAATTCTTTTCGTTTCACCTATCGTGTTTTGTTTTACCAATAAGTTGATTAAAACCTTAAAATAATCCTTTTGCAGTTACTAAAAAAAAGCTGTTTCAGATGCAAAATAATATAATATATCCTAGTAAGAAAGTCAATTGCTACTTTTGGTTCTCGGAAGTTGATGTTTCAGACTCGTAAACTATGTCATAGCATGCAGGCACAGTCGACCGTAATGTCGTAAATGAAGCCCACGGGCTTTGTCATTACATTACTCCATTAGTTTTTTTATTTAATTGCGTTGTACTTTTCTTATACGTCAAAATTAAATAAAAAGTTTTATGCTCGAAAAATCTTAATGTATTTCGTATACCTGTAAGCTTGAAGTATATAAAACCCTAAACATTTGCAATTCAACTACATTTTAGAGTATATGCACACGGCGTTTGTTACACGCGTCGACGACGCGCGTAAACGAGCGCCATCTACGGCGCCATAAACGCGCGTCATCTACGCGTATACGCACTGCAGACGCGCTGTAATGTATCGGATCAAACGCGCGCAAACATCGCGTTGCAAGCAAGAAGCTTATATTATATTCCACTTAAGGGTGTGTTAGTTGTTCCACCTCCACGTGTGCGAAGTCCTTGAGCAGTCTGTGATAACATGTTGTCACAGAACGCCCAAGGATGTAGCCGGTACACCCTGGGGCCAACACTGACAACTCCCGGCTTCAGTCTGAGAATTGTCAGTGAGAGCGCGAAGCGATCAACACGGTCCGGCCATGCGTTTCTGGGGGTGGACCATGGCACGTGGTGGGCAGTCTAAACTTACACCCTCCTGCGTTAATGCCTACGCAGTTGAGCACTGTACGCATTACGGGATGAAGGAATCCTGGGGGGTTGAGCCCGAGCGGGGTGTTCCTGCTAAACGGTAGCCCTGTGATTAGCCAACACAGGGAAATGGCATTGTGTCCCGTCAGAGGGCCACAGGCGAGGTGCGGGGGAGACGGACGCGGCAATGCTGACGGGGTGAGTATGTGCGGAACACCTGGCTGGCTTTGATCAGGTCAGCCAGCCGCACATTTCGAGCCCCCCATTGTCGCGCAGTGAGCTCCTAACTCCTGCACCTATACTCTCCTGACAATCCTGGTGTCCCGAATGGGACATACCCAAAGGTGCGGGCTCCGTGGTGGGTGGGAAGTCAGGAGAGTGAATCTAAAAACATAACAACATGGATACCAATGATCGTTCTTTGTTAAAAATTAATACCCAAAACCCAAAACCGGCGGTACTGGAGGGGAAACTCAAAAGTGCCATACAATAAATTCATTCAGGAACAGGTACTGGGGTATTCTCAGAAGACCTCAATATCAGGATATCAGCACCGCTTGGTGACCACAACACAGTACTCCAGGCTGAATGCATGGGCATCAAGTTGGCGGCAGAAGCAATCATAGCGAGAAGAGTAAAGAACTACTCCATTCGAATACTCTCCGACAGTATGTCAGTACTTCAAGCACTATGACATAAACTCAGGGCTCATTTACGAATGCCATCAAGCACTCATGGAGGTATGTATGTATACAAAACCACGTAACTCTTCAGTGGATTAAAGGACACAGCGGCTCACGTGGCAATGACGCAGCAGATGAACTAGCCAGGAAAGGGTCGGAGACGGACGCTGTAGGACCAGAACCGATAGTGTCCCTCCCCTACCAATAGTCCAGAACAACTATACACAAAGGTACAAAATCTTCACATAATAATACATGGACCACCCTTACGGTTTGTAGACAGGCGAGGGAAGAACTCCCAACGCTCAATGCGAGATAGACATATTAATTAAACTTAAAAGGCAAGAGCTTCGCACTCTAACTGCCGCCCTAACGGGTCATGGTCCATACAATAAACACCTTTTCAATTTAGGTATCACAGACAGCCCTCTATGCAGAGCGTGCATGGAGGGGGAGGAAACGGCTGCACACATCCTACTTCAGTGCTCCGGCGTGGCCAACTACAGGGCGAAGTACCTTGGAGTGTCAAGGTCGCTCCCCGAAGTCTTCAGCAAACCAAGGAGGCTGCTGAGATTCCTGGAAGAGCTTGGGTGGCACGAGTAGGACCCTGCACCACACGCAAAATAGGCGCCTTGTCGTCGAGTTGCGGATACCAGCCCGTTGCACCAAGTACCAAGTATATTCCATGGAGTTTACACTTAGAATTTCATGTAGTTGCTTCATTTAAAAAACGAACTGAAATTAATAAACTAAAATTAAAACTATCTCCTAACAAAATTGCGCGATACATACGCGTGGCCATAGCGCGTCTGCGCGTATACGCGCAGATGACGCGCGTCGTCGGCGCGTATACAATACGCCGTGTGTGTGCTCTTACTAAATTCATTTTGTAAATCCAAATTCTGCCATATATATACTATTATGACATTATTTATTTTATATCAAATACAACACGGCTATATGCGTGTTTGCCTTTTGCAACATTTTAGTTATGAGTTATATACGTATTATCTATGGAAAAATAGCTGGCCATCACATCATTATGTAAAACAAACATTAGAAGATTACAAAGCTTTAGTTATTAAAGACTCTTTTAAGGCCTCTTTCACACTGCTCCACGCCGTGCAACGGTGTGCGGTGCAGCATTTTTTCAACATTGTACCAAAGTATCTTAGTTTGCATAAAAAACTCGCGCCGTGCAACAACACTGACAACACTTATCACGCGCCCTCGCGCGAAGAAGCGCAGCGAGACACAGGGTATGGCACTATGTCTTTCTACTTTTGTGGTAAGGCAAACTGCACTGCACAATAGACTTGTACCTGCTCGTCTTTAGAGGGAGCGATCCCTGTGTGTGTGTTGACGCATTGCGTCTCCGCCGCACCGTTGCGTGGTGCCGAGCAGTGTGATAATCGCCTAATACACTCTCGTTAGTAATTCCTTATCTACCGCACTCAATATACAAACTATAACTTTTTTAAAAGGCTAGATGCATGGTAGCATTATTTTCAAAAACAGAACACCTACTCCACCTGAAGCTGCTTTAGCTGCGGCCAAAACGATTTCTTTGGCTGTGTTTACATTACTTATTTATATATGCCCCTGCCCACGGTACCACCAGCCGCGGTCAAGCCACCAGAGGCGGCCACCGATTGCGGCCACTAGTGTGGCTAGAAATCGTCCATTTTCCCAAATTCCCAGCATTAGACAAAGAAAATAGGACTTACGAATATAACTTCATTTTAAACTTTAGATTTTACTTTGACAGGTCACGATTTTTATATTTAAAAAAATAACACTGATCAAACAGTTGCTATATGTTGCTAAATATTTGTCTTGCTAAAACCAATTATTGCCTATCAATGTAAATTGATAGAATTCCCTAGATCTCGCGACTAAGTCGCTTAAAACGGCACCACTGACGGACGGGGGGAAGCCGGCGACTATGAACGAGTAAATATCACTCGACGTAAGTAGCGCGGGCCACTCGTGGTCGTGGTCATTCAAACGCTTAGTTGGCGCCGATGCAATATAAAACGTGTTCGCGTTTGGTGGCCGCCACTAGTGACCCAATGGACGGGCGCCTTTATAGAGATGCATTATTCCGTTATGACGTTTTAATGTGCCTTTCGTAGCTTTTCTTAGTGTGTTTTTGATTTACAATTGAATTTATTTGCTTTAGATGGTTGTTTTATATGCTCAGGCAGTTTGTTGCATATTTTATTGATATTGCGTATAGGCTCGATTACGAAACTTTAATTTTGATATCGGTAATACTATCTCTGGGTCTTCTTCTCAAGAGCAACTCCGCGGTTCCTATTAAATTTAACTTCTACACTGTATTTGCCGACATTTAACTTTACCTCCCCATTACCAATTCTCCAATCACCAGGATCTATTTCATCATTGCCTTCATCATCATTCGTGTTAGGTACATTTTTATCGCGAGGATTAGGAAATAAAGGCTCATAGTAAATCAAATTATTGACAAGAACTTCAAGTTTGTCCGTTATAAGAATCGTGATATTGACACCATTTTTAATCAAACCTGGTGTGCAAGTGGCGACGTGGTCCCAGTTGCCGTTCACGCATTTCATGAAGCCCAGGAGTCCGGAGTGGTAGTAGTTTGGAGCTCGACAGGTAGGTTGCACTATTGTGCCCGATGGTTCCTGAGAAGAACATAAGTTTAGAAGGTATAAAGTGAATAATATATCGCACTGTTAATTCAATAGTATATTAACTCAAAAAGTGTATTTTTTGATAATTGATGAAAAACTAATTACTCACTTCTCGTGAAATATTATTAAAATTTATGTACAGCTTAAAATTTATTGCAGACATCTAAACAAATTCCTATTTTGGTTGAAAAATAATAGCGAGAAAATTATTTAATATTTTTAAGTAAGGATAGTTTTCACCAGAACTCGCCACAAAAAGTTTCTCATTTTGATTTAAGTAAAGACATCTTTCATAGAGATGACCAGAGGGCGCCACTAGGAGTTAACACACTGTTTCATTATTAATTTTAATAAATATAATATAAGTGACCAGTTCTTTGTGAAAAGTGTAACAAAACGTTAATTACTACCACAAATATGGACAATAATCGTTTGTGAATAAAATCGTGTTTAAATAGTGTAGAAAATTATTATAGTGCTAAATCTGTGCTGGAACATGAAAATACAAATATCTCATATTATTAAAAAGGATGGACGTAGATGGTAGAGTGAAATACGTTGATTTAAAGAGACATGTTTATTGTTCGGTCTCCAGAATATAAGTAAGTAAATAATACAATATAAAATAAAATGTAAACTTAAATGCTAACCAAGCAATACGCACCACATGTTGCAGTTAGACTATAAATATAGTCTATCTATACTACATTATAGGGGTTCCAGAGAAAAAAAATGTGTTGCTTGTTACTTGTTAAAACACATTTTTTTTAAACTTAATTACAAGAAATTCTTAATAATTACTTAACAGTCCAACAAACGTTTACTAATTAATTTACAAACAATTTAGTATTATTCTTATGTGTTATATATTCTTTGCCATCTTTCAAAATTTTTACATTTGGTGACAAATCTTCAATAACAATATATGGTCCTAAATAAATGTTATCTAATTTACTCCCTACTTGGTTTTTCAACAAAATAAAATCATCTTTCTTATATTTTACAGTATTTATATGTTTATCGTAATTTATCTTTCTTAAACTTTTCCCATCTAATAAATTATTTCTAGCGTCGGCGTGTGCTCGTTGTAACCTGTATCTTAGTAGTAAAGGATAAGCATCAGGATTATATAAAGGTTCAACATCAGAACACAACAAATTATTTGGCAGATTACAAAGTTTTCCAAACACTAGTTCGTATGGAGTGTATTGTGTCTCGGTATGCACGGTTGTATTATATGAAAAACACCAAAATGGTAGCCAAGTGCTCCAGTCAGTCGAATTATTACTACACTGTATCCTAAGAAACGCTCCTAAACTTTTATGTGTGTTCTCTAACGAACCTATAGTTTCGTGGTGATACGCGGTCGAGTGAAGTTTGTTAATTTTTAATAATTCACATACTTCAACCATAACTGACGACATGAACTCTGTGCCTTGGTCCGTAATTATCTCTTTTGGGATACCATATCTCAATATAAAATTATTTACAAACAAACTAGCAACTGACACTGTATCCTTTTTTTCTAGCGGATACGCTTCTACATATTTAGTAAAGTTACATTGCAGAGTTAAAATATATTTACTATTATAATTATCAATATCTAAAGGTCCCATTAAATCTAAACTAACCCTTTCAAACGCTGTACTAGGAGTAGTTGTAATAACCATCGGTTCCCTAGTATGCCTGTTCGAGTGTTTCTGAATTTGACAACTCTTACATTTTCTTACGAATTCTGTGACATCATTAGTAATTCCTGGCCAGTAGTAATATTTCTTAATATTATTCAGCATCCTATTTACCCCCGCGTGGCCACTGGTGGGTAATAGATGAAAGTCATTCAATATTACAATTTTAGTATCTTTTTCAGTTACTGTTACTACGTCATTCAATACTAATACCTTAGGAAAATCACTTAGCTTATTAATTTCCTTTAATAATATATTTATAAAATCTTTATCGCGCTTTCTTTTTATAATAACGAGCTCGTTTAATTTTATTTCTTTACAAAAATCTTGTAATTCTCTCGCTAACACACTTACGGTAGATAACGATCGAGACATTACATAAATAGCCGATTTATCGGGCACAAAAACAAAAGAACCATTTTTACTATACAAGTTCTGTAAATTCACTATCTGCTTCATTGCAGTCTTATTTGCGCTTAATATTAGTTCTACGCTGTCAGTCGGTCGTTTGAGAATTTCCACTACTTTAGGTTGATCAAGCTTAGAAGCGGTGTGATTCTCACGGGTCAAGTCAATAATATTGTCATTATTAAGTTTTCGAGCTTGTGCTCTTGTCATGACCGATACAACATGCTCATGCATATCTTTCAATTCCTTAGAGTTCATCGGTATGCGGCTCAATGCATCTGCAGCTGCGTTGTGCCGTCCCGGAACATAACTGATATCAAAATCATACTCTTCCAAATAGAGTCTAAACTTTGTTAAACGGCTTGATGGATCGGTCATATTAAATAAATAAATCAAAGGCCTGTGGTCAGTTTTTATTTGAAACTTCTTGCCATACAAATAGGGCCTAAAATGACGCACAGCCCACACAATAGCCAGTAGTTCGAGTTCGATGACTGGGTATCGTGTTTCAGCTGGTCTTAGATTACGACTTGCGTACGCTACTACCTTGCCATTACTATTAGACAAAACGGCGCCTAAACCTAGCTTTGATGCGTCTGTTTGTAAAACAAACGTATTACCTTCTGAGAAGTCTGGATAATCTAAGATGGTAGGACTAAGTAGGATTTCTTTAAGTTTTTGGAAAGCCTTTTCACATTCAGTTGACCAGTTAAAAGAGACATTTTTCTTACATAATGCATTAAGTGGATGTGCTATTTCTGCGAAATTAGGTATAAATCTCCTGTAATAGTTAGCAAACGCTACAAATCGTTTAATATCATCTACACATGTTGGAACAGGATATTTCTGTAAAACATCTATTTTCGATGGGTCGGGAAAAATTCCATCTGAAGTTATTTTGTGGCCTAAATAAATAATTTCTTTTTGCAAAAATTCACACTTTAATGGGTTTAATTTCAAGTTAACTTGTCTAAATCTTTCCAGTACTTTAACTAAATTTTTGTTATGGGTTTCAAGACTATTACCAACTACAATACAGTCATCTAAATAAATTAGACATGCCTGATAGTTCAAACCCGTCATGGCTATAGTCATCAGTCGTGTGAAAGAACTAGGAGATGTTTTTAATCCCATCGGGCATCTCTTCATTTGATATTGTTTGTCAGTTGTAAAAGCTGTATATTTCCTAGATTGTTTTTCTAAGGACAACTGATAATAACCTTGCGATAAATCTAATTTAGAAAAATATACATTATTTGCCAAAGAATCTAAAATGTCAGTTATATTCGGTAAAGGGAATTTATCGTCCTGTATTACGTTGTTTAAGTGACGATAATCCACAACTAATCTCCATTTTTTCTCTCCTGATCTATCTGTCTTTTTGGGAACTAACAAAACTGGACTTGACCACTCTGATGTGGTTTCCTCAATAATATCATTTTTTAGCATATCGTCTACTTGTTTCTGTATTTCACCTTTAAGTGCCTTAGGTAGCCTATAAGGCTTGGTATACACTGGTGAAGTATTGTCTTTTAATTTTATGGAATGTTCATATAAGTTGGTAGTAGACAATGTATCGCCTGGTAAATGAAAAACGTCGGCGTATTTAGCGCACACGTTTTCTATACTTATCTGCTCCTCTTCATTTAAATAAGAAGGCAAGTCAAGTAAATTAAAAAGTTGTCTGATTCTATCTGGCGATATCTTCTCATCATCAAATTGGTATACGTTATAATAGTTTAAACTATGAATATCTACATCTTTAATATCTACTCTGACTGGTTTGTCAGTCGTATTGAGCATGCGAATTGGAATAAGTCCATACTTTGGTTTCACAATTACTCCCGCTGTGTACACACCTTTATGTACTTGTTTTGCTAAGACAACGCATTCACTGATGTGTGCCGTAGGTACGTGTCGAATTACTTCACATCGTGGAGGAATTATTATTTGATTTTTATCAAACTGAACAGTTACGCAGTGGTCTTGGTTTTCCAAACTCAAGGTACCATCTTTGTAACTCAACACTGCGTTATACTTTTGGAAAAAATCTTGGCCGAGTATCCCGTCTGCGGCGCAAGCTAAGTTCTTGAAAACATAGAACTTTTGTTTAAAAATTACCCCTTCAAGTTTTATATCTAAGTAAATATAACCTTCTGATTCTAAATTACCACTTATCCCCTTAATTAAAATACTATCTTTCCTAATCAACTTAAGTAACTCAATATTATGTGCTAGTCGTTCATATTTTATTACGCATAAGCTGGCTCCACTATCAATTAACAAGTTCAATTTCTCATTATTTCCTAAATATGACATTACTGTAAAGAAATTATTGTAACTAAAAATATTATGAGTGCACTGTTTAGGCACGAAAAAATTTGCTATTCTCAGTATTTCGCAAACCTTCCTGAGTCACTATCTCATGCACGTTATGCTGAACCCGTGAAAAGTGAGCGCGGCCACCGCGTGACTGCTGACGCGAGTCACGTGTGTCTTTACTTCTATGCCTGGAATTTACAAAGGTACTTCTTTGACCTTCGTTACCATGATTTCTATTATAATTATTTGCATTATTTTTATATCTTGAATTCTTGTGACCGTTATGGTAACTGGAAGTATTTGTTCGGCCATAAGAACTGCGTTTGTAAGAACCTTGTGAAAATCCGCGATTATAGGCAATCGGCCTAAACTGCATAACCTGCTCTGACTGCTGTGACGACATTATACTTTCATCACCAGCTACCCTAATAGCTTCGGGAAGCGATGTGAGCTGCCGTGAAGCTACAATGGTGCTCAACCTTGAGTCGGAGAGCCCATCTGCGAATCGTTTGATCGCAGTTTTCTCGTTAAGAGGACGCAATATGTCAAATTTAGCGCTATCCTCATCGGACT